TATTGTTGGGGGAGGGGGGAATAGGGATATAAAAGAGAGTATTGTACCAGTTCCCGATAAATTTGAGAACGACATGGATTCTCTTTGGCGGGGATACAAGAACTACTGAGTGAAAAAAAAATAAAATATTTAGAAAAATAAAGTTAGAAATATGTCAACTATGAAATATAATAGTACTGCTAAAAATATGAATATGAACTTTACCATTTTACCAAAATGAAAATAGTGAAATGATGAATAGCGCTTTCATGTTTTGTTTGATCAACTTTGAACAGTTAAAAAATTGGATTTTCCAATCTTTTCATCTTTGAAACCTGATGGTGTAAATTCCCTTTCAGCTCTCAAACTTGGACAATTTTATCTGGTAGAATTCCGATTTTGAATTGTAAATGTAGTCAAATGTAAAATATAAGGTTTTAAGACCAAATTTTGAGATCTATAAATAATCCTTGTCTCAGTGCTATGTCAGGTTCCCCACTCAAATAAGACCGATTTTGTTCAGCCGTTTTCCTATACCCCATAGACGAGGGGAGGGAGGCCAACCACAACAATTTTTCGTCCGAGCCATTTCGAAATTCTCGTCCTTACATTATTACTTTCATAAATTGTCTAATCCTCCCAGATAAAACAATTTTTTGAGAATCTTTTTTGTTAATTTTAGTGAAAACCATAGATCTTTTCCGGGTGGTTCCAAGGAGAAAATGATAGGCATGGGTTTGAAGGTTCCAATATATAATGCAATCATTGCAATACTATCCATATTTTATGAACTAACGTTGCCAAATTTTTAAAAAATAGTTTAATCTTCGAGATTCGGAGACTTCAAAACTAATAACAATCAAAGGACGAGGGTTCCGAGGTGGCTCGGACGAGAAAATGAGGAGAATGTGGCTCTGACGAGAAATTGTTGCGGCTGTCCTTCTTTCCCACAATAGACAGACAGACAATAAAACATAAATGTATGTCTGATCATAACTGACGGACCCCTTAACCTATTTGCCTCAATATTTTTTATAGTGGAACTCGTTAGAACAACAAAATATTCTTAGCTTGGTTTAAAAATGGCTCAGATTTCCTGGCAAAGCCGGGTTTCCGAGTTAATGTATAATATTCATAGTTTCTAAACATATTGTATCCTCTAAAAGTATTTGTATTGTGAATGAATAGAAATGAAATTAATCATAATAAAACATTATTTTCTGTTTTCATCCTCTGGCAATTATTCATAGTTATATGTAGACACGGATCCAACAGCTGGGAGCAGATTATACTTTGAAATAACATGGTTTAACCCTGAAAAAAAGGAGGAGAGAGAGGAGAGGAGAGAAGTGGGGTGGTAGTTGTATAGTTTTGTCGCACGGTCAACTGGTAAGTTTTGAGATATCCTGAAATCCTGATGTTGCAAAATTATTTTTTTAAAAACGGCAGGATCCAAATAAAAGAGAAAACGCTAGGTTTAAGAAGCGGATAATTAACATGTAATGCATCTCATATTATTCAAATTTTAACCATAAGTATTTTTTACTTTTTTTTTGGTGGGAGTTTGGGGATTTGGAACTAACTTGCGAAAATAACAAGCTCCAAGTATTGATCTGTCAGCTAAAATACATCTAACAAGGAGTGACAAATCGTACGTATAAATAATTTTGTAAAAAAAAACTAAGATATAGCTAAAACAAAAGTAATAAGTGCTAAATGGGGGCCGCCTATGCTCATTATTACCCCTCCCTGCCCCCTTCCCCCCCCATTTACCCTTTCGGCCTCTGATAAGTTAACCTTTTTTGGGTAACAATTTCCTTATCTTATCTTATTTATATTCTATATTTTGTATATGCTTATGAATATATATAATATTTACCAATTGGAGTATGAACAAGAATAATATATATTGCGTCAAAATATTTAATATAACCTCTGTACAAAATATAGTATATTGGATTTCCTCGCCTGATGACCTTTTTCACACTTTTTCCACAGTTAGAAAATACAGATTTTAACTTCAAAGCGTTTGTTTCTATCTTTAGTTTGAAGGAGTAATCGGAAAAATTTATATTTTTCAGTTTTTTTTTACATTTTTTCGGTGGTGAATTTTATTTTTGTATTTTATTTGTTCCCTAATTTAATATAAATACAAATTATACAAATACCAAGGACTATTTTTATAACTTCAAATTTATTGTCAGCACGTGAATCGAAAAACATAAAACCTTTATTTATTTGACCTTTAAAAGACCTCTCAATACCTTTAAAAGTTGCATAATCCGAGCCGGCACAATTGTACAGTCCAGTCTGGACTACCAGGTGTAGAGTCTACCAGCAAATAAAGCCTGCCAAGGTCATTGTGACTAAGTATTAGTGCCATGCTATAAACGGAAAAGAATATTTATTTACACAAAAAAATGAATAGCATGAATATATTTATATATTTATATATTACAATGAAAGGAAATTGGTAATAATCAAACCAATAATCTAAATAATGATGATAAAAATACTAACATTTATTTCTGTAAAAAAATCATCAATTCCCAAAATATATTATTTATCATTTTTTAAGGGAGTGACCGGCAATGTATGGTAGTTGAACTGAGAATGTAGTATTGTGGAGAAATTTGTTAGGATTCATTTGAGACATATAAAACGATGTAATAATGTATAATTACGACACTTTTTCCTAATTTAGCACCTCAAAACTTTATAAAAAGAGCGATTCTTTGTTTGAAGAATGAGAGTGGACATTTTTGAACATCGTTTGTAATAACCATCCTATTCTTTTTGTATCAAAAACCTTCCACAATATTGTCAACCATTAACTATGATACGTGTAAAGTCGTCTTTAACTTAGAACCCCCTCTCGGAGACACTAAAATCCAAACCAAATAATTTTAAGCTCCTGGTCCTTTAGTTTAGAATTAGTGACTTTCGTTAATAATCAACTGTCATTCTTTTCAGAAGTTAAAAAAACGTATTAGAACTGTCCAACGACTTAACCCTTTGATATCACAAAATAGATTGTAAGAATCTTTTCATTATAAACATTCATTTTAACAATTTTATATGTTATTATTTATATATTTTTTTTCAGGAAATAAAGTTTTCTTAATTATCGGTTTTGATTTGAGGGTTATACTGTTGTTTATCTGTTCAACTTGAGAATCTTGTTTCTATCCGACAACAAATATGTTTTCAAATAATGCAAATAAAATAATAAGAATTTCTTGTTTTTACTGCAGTAGTGCAGTATTATAAAAGTGTCTGAATGAATAAAATTAAAAACACCCTGTAATTGCAAATATGTGATACAGAAAAGAAAACACGTAAACCCAAAATACGGAAAAGAAAACACGTAAATCCAAAATACGGAAAAGAAAACACGTAAATCCAAAATACGGAAAAGAAAAGGGGGGTAATAAATATAATATTTAGTACAGAAGGCGGGGACTACAGACAAATAGTTTTTATGGGAAATTTGTACCAAAAGAGGAGCTGTGAGGAAGGGAGGGGGACAGAGTGAAAATAGTATATACCAGCTGAAACTAAGGAGAATTTTTTATTATTTACAGAGGTAGTGTGTGCTATGACACTCAGAAAAAATAATGATTTTTTTCGTAATGATGGTTTCAGGCCAAATTGACCATTGTGAATAGTAAATTACAGATTGAGACGCAAATTGAGTTGCAATATTAAATAGAATTTTTTTCGGGTTTTCATTAAACAATTCAAGTGCGTTTATGCTTAATCTTTCCGTATACACTAGTTGTTAGCCTTCAGTCAGTTTTACGGGATGGGGGATAAGTGTTTTGGCTTTTTGATTCAGCCTAGGTCTTGTTTAAAAGTTCTAAAAGTTCTAAGAGGCCCAGATTTAATGAATAGCGAGGAGGTGTTCAACTACTTCTTTAAACTCGATATAAACATTATGTAATCCTCTCTTCCTCATTCTCATTCATCAACCACTGATTATGTCACCACCCACTGCTTTCTAAACCCCTCCTTCCTCTCCCCTATCATCATCCCCTCCCCTCCCCTCCTCCCTTTCCTCCCCTTCCTCCCCTTCCTCCCCCCTCCCCTGTATAATAAACCAATTACTGGTATAAGCATAAACCATCAATAACTTCTGTCACTTTAACAAAGAGTTGATGCTACACTTATACAATATAAAAACTAACAAAGAGACTAATTCATAGATAGTTAGATAGATAGATATATCAACCTTTTTATCCAAATCTGATCCAGATTATTGGGTAGAAAGCTCAATAGATTGAAAAATGGATAGAAAACTAGGGTATTTGATGTAAGATTGTTGAGTATCGTTTTCGTTCGTTAACGAATGCAAATTTGTGAACAAACATGATCGTACATTGATTTTTTTTGCTATTCGAACGAGAAAAAAAACTAACACTTCAAAGTAGTTTACAATCTTTAATTATACTCCTTCCATTATACGTTGACATAAAGTAAATTCCACATTAAAATCTAATATGTTTTTAAACTTTTCCCACACATTTTTAAAATTCAAATATCAACATTTATTCAATTTATTTTGCTTCAACTTCCGACTACCCCCACTACCTTATTCTTTTTAAAATTCAAATATCAACATTTATTCAATTTATTTGCTCCAATTTCCGACTACCCCCACTACCTTATTCTTTTTAAACTCTGGAGAGAAAAAATCTTCATTAAATTTGATTTTTTCTAAGATCCAATTACCCTCACTACTAATTAGTTTTTTAAAATTTGATGTAAAGTTCTCAGATTTTTATTAAAATTCACAATACCCTTTCTACCATTTACTTATTAAAAATTATATATTAATCAATTCAAATCTTTATTTTGAAAATATGAAATATTACTACCTTAACTACCGTCAATTTATCTAAGAGAAATCTATCCAACGGTACTTTTCCTTCTATTAATGGGGAATTCGATAATGGTCCGTTTCCTTCCTCTTGAAAGAAGACACTAATAAGATTACACTGGGTATATGGATAAATTATATGTAGATATTTAGGTATAAGAATTATCCAAGATTTATTTTATTTTCAGTATTTTATATTTACCCAATTTCATTCATTTCGCGCCTTTCGCAAATAAAAGTTATAAATGACATTTTTAAAATTATTTCTAGATTTTATAATTATCAATATTTAAACCAATCTTTTTTTCTTTATTTCTAATTAATTGTTTTTGTAACGACGCACGAAAAACGAAATGGAAACGATTGTTTTAAGAAAAATAAATAGTTTTTAAAGTAAAGAAATTAAAGTATAGTAGTTTTCGTTTCGTAAGTCGTTTTTGGGTGTAGACGACCGCTAACGACATACGTTCGTTAATTACCAAGATATATTTTTTTTCGAAATGTTCCTCACCTTAAAAAAATTTGTTTTTAAACAGATCAAAACCAGAAGTTCGTTAGATTTAGCCTTTGTATTTGAAAAGGAAGGTCCGTTAAAAAAATCAAAAACTAAACAAAAAACGAACATTTTTTCGTTTGTTTATTTAAACGATTGACAACCCTGTTAAAGAGTATTATTAATAATTATTGTCAAAATTAAATTGGTTACCCCTGTACAGATGAAGTTTTTCCCTGTAGGAGTACAAGAATGTTAAACTATACACTGGCATAACCAAGAAATTTGGCACAAAAGGATTATGAGAATAATGATTTATTGCTTAGGACTGAATTGTGTGTCAACGAAAATCGAAAATAGGGAAAATATAAAATGAAGTAGAAAATAAATTAGGAATAATTGTTAAGAAAAAATATAGAATCAAAGAAATGATAAGTAATAAAAAGGAAAATTATTTCAGGAGAAATTAAAAGTTTCGAATCCGCTTTTTTCTACCTGATGTCGTGCATGGACCTTTTATTTTTCTAACTATGAATTCGTTTAGATCAAATGGTGAGTTTGCAATTTGGAATGTTCCCTCTCTCAGATTGCAAAGATATAGAGATGGGAATATTAGGGTATGATGAGTTATTAGTTAGATTCTGATGATGATTCCTTCAGAGCAAAAACTATTTAAAATTCAAAATACGGAAATGATTACACTTAAATTCAAGATATGGAAAAAAAAACAAGTAAATCCAAGATACGGAAAAGAAAACACGTAAATTCAAGATACAGAAAAGAAAACACGTAAATTCAAGATACAGAAAAGAAAACACGTAAACCCAAAATACGGAAAAGAAAACACGTAAATCCAAAATACGGAAAAGAAAACACGTAAATCCAAAATACGGATAAGAAAAAATAACACGTAAATTCAATGTACGAAAATTTGAAGAAATAATAATAATTTTATAAATGTTAGTTTAAAAGTGTATCGAAGAGGGGGGGAATAGAGGGATTTCAAACCCCTCTTCCCTTCCCTTGAGACACCTTACCCTGCTATATTCATATTGATCTTACACAAGTTTAAAGTGTTTTGATAAGAAAATATTCTCAGAATTTTGATTTTAAATTTATTTCAGGCAGAAGCTTGAAATAATAAGAAAATATGATACAAAAAGAATATTGAAGTGTAAATTCAAGTGATACTCTTGCAAAAGACATAATTGAATTTTGTATTTTCAAGAATTCTGAACAAATGATGCATCAAAAATATGACGTAATAAAACTTTAAACTTGCTTCTTAAATTTATTGAAACAAGACAAATTTGATAAAGGGAAGTTTCTTGATGACTATGCAATTTTAATTGACTCCTTCTCGACACAAACTCATATTTTCGCATCCCTATATCTTTGCAACATGATGGTTTTAACATTTGATATTTAAAAATCAGAATATTTGATTTCACAGAATTCATAGTTTGAAATCAACTGATTTCAATTTTAAAAAAGTTAATTACTTTTGGTTTAATAAATTCATAATTTTATAATAATTTGATATCAATATATTTCACAAACAACTCATATCTTTTACATACTTTATATTGGTACTTGTAAAGGGTTTAAATACTGACAATTAATATTTATGATCTGAGTTAAAATATTATTTTCTAGATATAGACTTACACACAGTGCATGATTACTTTTTCATTTTTTTTCAAATAATTGATTTCGTTTAAAAATTAAAAACGTTCTCGGATTTTTTTCCTTTTGCATAATGTTTTCTATATTTTTATTGTTTAGGTTACAACCTTGTATTTGACAACATACCGGTAATTTTGAGATCATGAAATAATATATTTACCTTATTAAGATACATCTTAATAAACTTTTTGATGAAAAGAAATGAGAAATATAATTTATGTTTTGTGTGTTACAGCAGGAATTCATCTTGCTTGAATGCATATTTAATGAATACAAGTGATTTTTCAAATATTTCGACAAACTCTGAAACTAACACTTTATCTTCATTCACAATTGTAAGCAGATTATCAAGCTGTAAACAGTGAACAGTCTATTTATTTTAGTCTAGAGTATCCATTCTCTTCTTCGCTCAACCTAAACACAAATATAATTATTAGGTAGATCAATATATATTAAAATCATTCAAAATCTTTCAAATTCTCCTTGAAAATCTGATTCTTACTCTTTTACAAAATTTGAAATTGTTTCCTTGATTGCAGATATTATCACAAAAAACATGATTACTAGAATTCTTATAATAAGTTATCCCTACAGTACTTAAAAATAATTAAAGGGACTGTTTGTATAATTTCAAGTAACCCTCCAATCTCCAAGCAAAGAGGGTAAAGCCCGATTAACAACGGTACACTTTAAACATTAGACTGTTTATCAAGTACAAAGATCTCCGTGTGTAAATATCTTGAATACTGCTTGAATTCTTGTAATTTATACCTTGCATCCTGTAACCCCCCTGAGAACTGCAGTATCAGGATCCTTTGCTCCGAGTTCTCCTTCATCCTCCCTGGTATAGTATCCGCCCTTATGTCTCCGCATACACCTGGATAACACATCAAGTCCATTTAGTAAACGTAGGCTAGGTTTAGGGTTTGTGTACATATTACGTTTGTTACGTTGTAGGACTGTAGGCAACCAGTTTTTCAAAAACAAAACTTTAAACTAATGTTGGAGCTTTCCTAGATGGTTTATTCACCGTTTATTGGTGTTCGCATTTTCCCAAGGGCGACTATACCCAAGTGACAATTTCCCAAATGGCAACTTCTCAAAAGTGCAATTTCCCAAGCGGCAACTTCACAAGAGATTAGGTTAGGCAATCTGAGGCGCCGCAGGCTGCAATGAGGGCCGAGCGCTGCGGCTAGGATGGGAAATTACACAATTATCCCATCCTAGCCGCAAGGGTATATTCTCAAATGTTACCGCTTGGGAAAATCCTGTTGGAAAGTACCTAGCATCCGTTTATTTACCTTGAAACAATTCCTGAATAACTAAACCTAACTGAATGTGGATTTTGTAAATTAAGTAGCTTAAAAATAAGCTAGAAAAATTCACACGAATAGTAAGCAGTTTAAAAAACGCTTGTACCATATAATCTATTTCCTACTCAAAATCAGCTGGTTAAATCTTAGGTTTCGTCTTTTAAACATAAAGATGATAAAATACAACAGGATGCTGATTATCAAAAATTAAAACTTTTCAAAACTGTGAAAATGATCACAATGATATTAAACCTGATAGAGGCAAGTAGAACCAAGGAGATCAGTACAAAATGATCGCAATGATATTAAACCTGATAGAGGTAAGTAGAACCAAGGAGATCAGTACAACAAGGAGAGAGACTCCCAACCCAAGAACAAGAGAGTTAGCAACAACCTAGAAAAATTCCGTGTAAGGCGTTATTTGAACTTTTTAAAGCAATTCTATGGTACTTTTAGATTTGTGATGTCTATAAACCATCAACAAATATTTAGATTTGTGATGTCTAGAAACCATCAACAAATGTTTAGATTTGTGATGTATATAAACCATCAACAAATGTTTAGATTTGTGTTGTCTATAAACCATCAACAAATGATTTGTGATGTCTATAAACCATCAACAAATGTTTAGATTTGTGATGTCTATAAACCATCAACAAATATTTAGATTTGTGATGTCTAGAAACCATCAACAAATGTTTATATTTGTGATGTCTAGAAACCATCAACAAATATTTAGATTTGTGATGCCTAGAAACCATCAACAAATGTTTAGATTTGTGATGTCTATAAACCATCAACAAATGTTTAGATTTGTGATGTCTAGAAACCATCAACAAATGTTTAGATTTGTGATGTCTAGAACCATCAACAAATATTTAGATTTGTGATGTCTATAAAGAGTTGAATGGAAAGCTAGCTTTTTAAACTGATTTTCTAGATTTGGTTTTCTAATGACAAGAGGAGTAGAATAGAGTAATATGTCAATAAGATATAAAATACTGAATCATGGAATAATATTGAATAAGAAAATCATTACTTGACAGATGAATCAATAAATAGATCAATACAAAATAGTGAATTAACAACTAAAAAAAATAATAAATGAATGAATCAACAGCCGAATGAAATTAAGGATGATTATGCGAAAGGATGAGTACAAAGGATGACTGAAGGGATGAAAGGATGAATACAAAGGATGACTGAAGGGATGAAAGGATGAATACAAAGGATGACTGAAGGGATGAAAGGATGAATATACCTCGACTGAGTATGAAGAGGAAAAGTATTTACTCTGAGAGCTTCTGCTTCTGCTCTCAATATCTAGAAATTCAATATTTTATTTAAACCCTAAACCCCTAATAAGGTTAACAAAAGAGCTGATTGACCCTTCCATTCCACCCCTCCTCATGTGATCGACATGCCACTGTTGTTTTTGAAACATCACTATGGAACTCCTTACCATTAGAACACAAGAAAAAGGTTATTTTTGCAAAAGAATTTTTTAAGTATTTTGTATTGTTTACTATATTGAAATATACAAAACTAAACATACCGCAGCATTGTGTACTTATACTGTTTACTATATTGAAATATAGAAAACTAAACATACCGCAGTATTGTGTAATTGTATTGTATACTATATTGAAATATACAAAATTAAACTTACAGCAATATTGTGTACTTGTACTATGTATACTATATTAAAATATATAAAACTAAACTTACCACAATATTGTGTACTTGTACTATGTATACTATATTAAAATATAGAAAACTAAACATACCGCAGTATTGTGTAATTGTATTGTTTACTATATTGAAATATACAAAATTAAACTTACAGCAATATTGTGTACTTGTACTATGTATACTATATTAAAATATAAAAAAACTAAACTTACCGCAATATAGTGAACTTGTACTATGTATACTATATTGAAATATATAACACTAAACTTACCGCAATATTGTGTACTTGTACTGTGTACGATATTGAAATGTTTGAGTACAATAATATCTCCAACTACTAGACTAGAAATGCAGCCTGATATTCCTCCTGTAATTCACGTTAAAGATAATTTTTAAAAAAACATTATTTTTCTCAAAGATCGAAAAAATATTTTTAAATCAAAGAAACTGAACACTGGTCTCAAACTCTAATTCTTTTAATATTTCAAAATATGAATTCTGCACACGTTAAATTAAAGTAAATTGCGCGTAAGGTTGTACTTTAGACAAGATTGTCTAGAACGTGTTGTTTTTTAGACAAGATTATCTAGAACGTGTTTTATTTTAGACAAGATTATCTAGAAGGTCTTGTATTTTAAACAAGATTATCTAGAACGTCTTGTATTTTAGACAAGATTATCTAGAACGTGTTCCTCCGATGTGTAAAGATTGTACTTCACTTAGTATTTTCCAGTCCAGAGGTCCCAGCTCATAAACCTTCTCCAACAAACCATCTACCACTGGTACACAGATCAGATGTTTAATTATTATTATTATTGTTATTATTATTATTATTCATTTGAAGCAATTTCTTCCTTGTCATCTTTCAAATTTATAATTTCAAATAAATATTTTACCTTTTACGCTTCTTCCATCATCGTCCACCTTGATAGATATTAGATGGAAATCTTGATTCCTAGAATAAATAAATATATTTTTTATTTTAAAAATATTTTACATTCTCTGTTGTGAACCATGTATGTGTCTCTGCACAAGAAAAGTAAAGTGAGGCTAAATTCAGACTTTGGATTATCTAAAGAGAGGCGATGACCACAAAAGCTCGAGAATGCATGATAAATCCATCATCTTCTTTTTGAAAACTGATTATTTTCATAAGTGTTTCTAGCTCTATAAAGTGACCTGCACAATCCTGCTGAAGAAACAATGGTAAAAATGTCCAGAATTTTAAACTTTTCAGGCTAGAATAACAACGATATCATACAATAATTGATCATTTCAAGGTTTACAGGGTACCGTTTTGAATCGGACAAGCCCGTCCCTCTTTTTTGTTTTTCAAATTGAAAGTCAGTTGAAATTACACCGAAGCAGTTTGATTGTTTTTGAATTATTTCTTTCAGTTGGTTTGGTAGAATAATGGTCTCTTCGCTGTTTATTTTGTTTATATTGTTTATTTTGATGTCAGTTTATTTACTTTTCTCTTGGATATTACACTTTACAAATGTTTTCAAGTTTAAGTAAAAAGATTAATTTGAATTAATCAAGGGGAATGTGCATAGTAGAGCTAGAAGAACAGGGATAAGAAATAGAATTACAATAATTCAAAATAAAATAAAAAATAAGAGAAGAAAGGAAAACCAAAAAAAGCATGACAAAAAATAAAGACTTAAAATGTCTAGACAAAGCCTATTTCTGTTCGTATAATTTTGGTTCTTCCCATTCCTACAAAGCTAAATTCTTTTGGCTTTCCATGATTATTGTTATAATAGGAAGTGTCACTGTTTTCCACACTAAACGCCAATATTTCATGTTAACATTTTGTTTTTCTATATTTGATTTCTTCTATCATGGCTATGTAGAGGATACAGTATTTGTGAAGATAATTTACTCCAATCCAAGGTACTAATGCAAGGAAAGTTAATTCAGAGGTGTACACATTTTTGTACTGCAGTGTATTGTCTTTGGGCGGAAAAGTAAACACAAGACGGATGTCACAGCCTGACATGGAATCAATTTTCACAAAAATAATCTATGAAATATTCTGGTCATAGGAAACTATTACGCGAATTTTCAAAATTATCAAAATTAAATGCTTTTATCATCCTCGGATACTAGACGAACACTGATGCAACTATTCTTGTTTACAAATTCCGCCCAGAGAGAACTGGTTTTAATATTTACGCAGAGTATACGCGACCGCAATTAACTTTCCTTGCATTAGTACCTTGCTCCAATCTAGACATAAGGTTGAAAGAAAAAGGTCAAATTACATCACAACCCCTTGCAATTTAGATGTCATACCAAACAGTGAAAAAATCAAACTTGGTTGACTGAAGAAGATTTCAGAATTTTCCTCTCATCAAAAGCTTTTAAGAAGTCTAAATCTAAAATGAAATTTACTCTCGTTTAATTTAAATAATATTTTACATTTTCTAGTAGCATGACATCTGGATACGTAATTATATATATATATATTTATTAACATATATTCATAAATGTATAAATATTTAATCTGCGGATTCTGATATTCATCATTATATCCTTTATCCGTCTTCTATATAGAATCCTTTATATCCATCTCTTTCATCCTCACCCCTTACCTCCTTACTTATAGAACCCCCCCTTCTCCCCCCCTACCCACCACCCTGCTCAATCATAAATTATACACCAAGTACCCTACCCAGTCACTTCGTGGGTTGGCAGTTCTTTGGCAGAAAGGATACCATGATGGTTCGGGTATTTTTTAAAGGGACCGTAAACGTAATTGTAAGTGACTCCCCTTGTATAGTGGCGTGTTCGACTTACAATAGGACCCACTTTTATCCTTTAATAAATGTGACCTCCTTCTCTAACAAAGTCGAAAATTAGTTATTTTCAATATTGGTTTCTCTTAAAAGTGAGTTGCGCATTTAAGCTTTGTAAACAATAAAGCAAATTAATAGAATTCAAGACCTTTTTAAACAGAAATACTCTGATATATTTGTCATTGTTACTCATATTGTGCCCTTGTGATTCGGACATATTTCTTTTTTGGAAAGTAATTTGAAATTGAAAATTCTTCCGTAATAGAGAACCTATAAAATTACAAAGTTTACAGAATGAGGGGAGGAAGGCCAACCACATCAATCTCTAGTCCGAACCACATTCTCCTCATTTTCTCGCCCGAACCACATCGAAATCCTCGTCCTTTCAATATTATTTTTTTTAAGTGTCCGATCCTTGAAAATAAATACATTTTTTTAAATATGGCGACGTTAGGGCATAGATGAAATATAAAATTTTCCCAATTAAATTTTAGATTTGTGTAAAAATGAAAATGCTCCATAAACGATGTTCTACAAAAAAAGTGCCCTTTCTTTCGCGGAAAATGCCGCAAAACATTCTCAAACTCGATGTAAACAACTTTTTGTAATATTCCAGCTGAATTTGGGTTAGAGATATGACTTACAATTTTTATATGATTAAATACTGTTTGAATTCATAGGGTTGTGACCAATTAATTGTAGCAAATGATTTGAATAATATAAATTGAACATTATTTTTTCTATAATTTCAAGCATGCGGCAGGCAGTAGTGATCTCTTAGTGGGGACAATAAATCTACCTTATTTGTAAATAAATCAGAAATCAATGATTATTTTGTATGGGTTGAAATGGAAAGATTAAAGACCATGTTCACGCGAATTCTTTGGTATAAATATTTATTTGTGAAAGTTATCCATTTTGGAGGCAGAAGAGATTCAATTTTTAACCTAAATAATGTTTGATATCATTCTCGTGGATTTGAAGATTCCAACATCTCAAAATCCTTGGAAAACTTTATTCTAGTCATGTTTTATGCCCTAACGTCGCCATATTTTTAAAAAATGTATTTATTTTCAAGGATCGGACACTTAAAAAAATAATATTGAAAGGACGAGGATTTCGATGTGGTTCGGACTAGAGATTGATGTGGTTGGCCTTCTTCCCCTCACAGAATGACTGACATTTTATTGATCAAAAGAAAAGAACTTGTATTAGCAAAGTTTAACCATATCTTTTTTTTTAATGGTTGCTTTGAAAAAATCCCAGTTTCGCATCCTTATCCCTCCCACCAAATCTATATTTTTCCTTTTTCAAAATATTTGATACACGCACCGGTTATCTCTATATCTCCTATTCCAAGATTCCCCTGGTACTAAACCTTTATCCCCCCCTTCTTCCCCTACTATACAAGTCTATATAAGTATCCCCCAAGTTGTATCCCCCCTTCTCCTTGGTTCCCGGGGGAATTCCCATCTTTGAATGAAAATATTGCATGCTGCTACTGCTGCTTCTACTCGTACTGCTCCTATCTTTGGCAGAGGGAGGTTTAGTTTCTTACACTATATGTCAGGACTCAACCTCTTCCCCTTCTTTATTACATTCACCATAGTATGTGTGTTACCCCCCTCCCCCCTCAGGGGCATATATAGGAATTTGCTCTCCCCCCCCCCTCACGTCGGATGTTAAATATTCCTTTAGGCAATCTTGGTTTTTAGCAATCCAGCCTCCTGTATGCGCCACTGCCCCCCCCCCCATAATTTGGTGCGACCCCCCTCTCCCCATTTCTATATCCCGATTCTATTTTCTCCTTTACAGCCATGATCCCAATTAAACTATAGCGGGTAATTAAACATAAAATCTCACTTTGCGCGCTGACATTTCTAACGCAGTTATCCTTGTTATGTAATTTTTGAAACCGAGTAAGTAAAGATAAAAAACCCTCAATACATATTTCTGAGTTGTATTTAGGAACTCAAAAACTGTGCCACATAGTATTTTAAAAGAAAGGAATTGAGTCTTTGCCACAAACCTTAGATATTTCAAACTGTAAATTCTATAAGATCAAATCTATGCTGTGTGCAGATATAGGGATTAGAAATTATGAGTTTGTGGCAAAGACTCAATTCAAGATAATTAAGCTGTAAATCTATATAATAAAACAAGACGTTCATATTTATGTTGCCTAAAGTTGGCCAAACGGCTGGACCGACTGGGCAAAATTTTTTTGTGGACACTCAAGGGTGGCCGTTGGGTGCTTTAGGCTAAAAAATCGAAATGTTTTTTTCAACTTTTTTTTGAAATTTTATAAAGAAAATTAAAAAATAAATTTGTTTTTTCAAATTTTTTTCCACAGGCAATGCCGGGCCCTTCAGCTAGTAATAAATATACCTGTAAGAAGATTCGAGAATGAAGACCGTATATTTTCTACCTAGGTGGTAGGTCAAACTCAGCTGACCCATCCGGTTTATAGACAACCTGTATATACGATAGGTTTATAGACAACCTGTATCCAAGATAGGATTATAGACAACCTGTATACAAGATAGGTTTATAGACAACCTGTATACAAGATAGGTTTATGGACAACCTGTATACAAGATAGGTTTATAGACAACCTGTATATAAGATAGGTTTATGGACAACCTGTATAGAAGATAGGTTTATAGACAACCTGTATACATGATAGGTTTATAGACAACCTGTATACAAGATAGGTTTATAGACAACCTGTATACATGATAGGTTTATAGACAACCTGTACACAAGATAGGTTTATAAACAACCTGCATACAATATAGGTTTAAAGACAACCTGTATACAAGCTATGTTTATAAACAACCTGCATACAATATAGGTTTATAGACAACCTGTATACATGATAGGTTTATGGACAACCTGTATACAAGATAGGTTTATAGACAACCTGTATACAACGTAGGTTTATGGACAACCTGTATACAAGATAGGTTTATAGACAACCTGTACACAATATAGGTTTTTAGACAACCTGTATACAAGATAGGTTTATAGACAACCTGTATACAGCATAGGTTTATGGACAACCTGTATACAAGATAGGTTTATTGACAACCTGTATACAAGATAGGTTTATTGACAACCTGTATACAAGATAGGTTTATAGACAACCTGTATATAAGATAGGTTTATGGACAACCTGTATAGAAGATAGGTTTATAGACAACCTGTATACATGATAGGTTTATAGACAACCTGTGCACAAGATAGGTTTATAAACAACCTGCATACAATATAGGTTTATAGACAACCTGTATACAAGATAGGTTTACAGACAACCTGTATACAAGATAGGTTTATAGACAACATGTACACAATATAGGTTTATAGAAAACCTTTATACAATAAAGGTTTATAGACAACCTATATACAAGATAGGTTTATAGACAACCTGTATACAAGATAGGTTTATAGACAACCTGTATACAAGATAGGTTTATGGACAACCTGTATACAAGATAGGTTTATAGACAACCTGTATACAAGATAGGTTTATAGACAACCTGTATACAAGATAGGTTTATAGACAACCTGTATACACTATAGGTTTATAGACAACCTGTATACAAGATAGGTTTATAGACAACCTGTACATAATATAGGTTTATAGACAACCTGTATACAAGTTAGGTTTATAGACAACCTGTATACAAGATAGGTTTATAGACAACCTGTACAACAGTACACAAGTTTAGAAGAGAATATATTTGTTGGGATTTTGTAATTTTTGTTCAATAAAACGAAACAAATAGAGGTTAAACGAATTCAACGAAATGGAGTTTTTATGTTTTACATTTGTAGAAATCTGAATTTTAATGATCTCATTTTAGTTTCAAATCTACTAAAAACAAATAAGCTTCTTATTTTGTTTCCATTTAATTACTATTATTAATAAAATGTGAAAGTAACCTGAATACTTCAGACTCCATATATTTTGCACTCAAAATAGTTCCCTCTCTACAATCAGGCATTTATTCAAATTTTGGTAATTTCCTAGAGAACAATTTTTAGACCCCCCCCCCCCCTCCTATAAATTTTGTACATGAATCTCATATGTAGCACATGGATATAATTGATCATGTGGCCGCAGCACCTAGCCTGTCCTAGCCGCGGCGCTCGGCCCCTATCCTTTCCTAGCAGCAGCGCTCAACCCTTCCTTTTCCTGTTCTAGTCGCATCTCTCGGCCCCTTAGCCTGTTCTAGCCGCAGCGCTCGGCCCAGAAATTGTCTTAACCTTACCTAACCCTAAAATAATAAAAAAAATAATAATAATTTTGCTGAAAATAAGTGGTCATGTACAAAGTTGATTGGAGGGGTAGGCAGTGGGTCCATAAATTGTTCTCTAGGATAGACCTCAAATTTTTTCATTTCACCCTTTATTGTTAGTACAGTGGGTAGCATCAAATAACGGAATTATTTTTTTAAATTATGAAATGTTACTGAGAGGATATAGGATATTTTTATTAAATTATTTCTAGAAATTTATCCTGAACATTTTTAGAAGTATTTTTATTTGCAAAATTACAAACTACAAAATTCTAAGCGACATTTCTTGAGAAAAATAAAAATAAAAGATGACATTCATTTCAACTTTCTGGTTACCACTGTACATTTTAGAATTTTGCAAAACAATTTAAATATTTTAAATATATTTGCATGAATAAATTCCTGGATTTTGTGGATACACCAACAAGAACAGATCTGAAAAAAGTATTATAAATTTTTTATAAATCTAAATCGGAATTTAAAATTTGATGGAATATATTTTCTTTACCTTAAATTAATTGATTGGTTTGCTAGAAGAAGTGAAAAAGATTCTTCAGCGGCAAAACTTAGACCAAGATCAAATTCACAGAATTCACCTAAATTTAAATCTTACAATCGGAATTTTCTGGAAACATATTTTAATAGAATTTAAATCAGCTAACTCTTGTAAAAAAAAAGAAAGGGAAATATTCAATTGTAAGACTTTTAAATTTCCAAAAATGTTAAATGTTTGAAATTAGTTAAGCCTCTTCAACAAAATTAAGGATGGGATAAGCTAAATGTGTATATTAATAATTTTATAGTTGAGAAAACACGGAGATTATTCAGGGAATGTCGATTAGAATAGATTATCTTATCTTTATATAATGTTTAAAATATTCTGATAAAGGGAAGGAACCAGATATAATCCTCAGTCAGTAATTACAGCAAGTTTAAAAGGGATTTTTTGTTCAACGACTTGACCACCTCCTTCATTAGTTACGGGCTAGTTAGGAAAACACTTGTGGCATGATACGAACAGTACAAGGATACCGGTCTAGTTAATTATACCAGCACGTCTAGTAAACCACTTGTGGCATGATACGAACAGTACAAGGATACCGGTCTAGTTGATTATACCAGCACGTCTAGTAAAACACTTGTGGCATGATACGAACAGTACAAGGATACCGGTCTATGTTTAATTATACCAGAGACTGAATTTAAAGAATTTGAGCCGCGGCTCAATTATGGTTGGTTTCATCTAAATGATTTGAGCGGCGCTCAATCAAAAGCGGTTTTTGTTAGGTTTGAGAGGCTGCTCAAATTCTTTAAATTCGGACTCAGGACGTTTAGTTAAAACCCCGTGTTAAATTAACCTATTAAAGGCTGACCGGATCCATGTACATAATGAATATATATCTTAATTAAGATATACAAAACAATTAAATATATGGATTTTGCTTATAGGATTCTGCTTATAGAAGTCTAAAAATAGAAAATGTTTATTGTTTTGACATTGCCTTTTCTTAAAAGTCTGGGTGAAGTGTCGGATCCAGGGAATCCAGGGTTATCTGCAAAGAATGAGACTGGAACGACGACTGTACGGAGATAGTTCAGTCTTTTTTCTGACATTCATGTGATATGAAACGTGTTTTTTTGTTTCATCTGTAGCCAAATAAAGCATTATTCTATTATATTTTAGACAGAACCTTAAATTAGGTTGTTGAATTTAAATCGTTATAATGTTTAGCTCACTTTTAACCCAAACTAATCTCTTGAATTTGTGGCATCAACCTTTTTTCTTAAACGTACTTAATGTGTTGCCGTTTTTTAAGGACTTTATATATAAAATATTCTATGTCAGTCTCAACTATTATCCTACTTTCAGTTTGTTCTACATTAAACACGTTTTCAAATATATAATCGATCCCAGGGAATCTTTTGATGAAAATAAAAACTATAAATGTTTGCCTTTCCTCATTCTCGGAGGCTAAATAAATTTGGAGGCATTATGAGGCAAATCGTCGTACTGAATTCAGTTAAGATTACACAGAATTGGAGGCATTTATTTGACCCAAGAAATATCTGAATCAACCCAGAATCTACAGAGCATCCCATCATATGAGAATATCTCCTAAAGCTTAAACGCCAAAATAATCATATAATACTCGAAAACCTGGTATTTTCTGCAAGAAAACTTATACATTTACTGTATATCGAATCTCTTACATTAAATGAACTGATCGAATTCAGTATTGACATAAATGAAATATCAACATCGTACATTTTTGTATAATCATGAAATATTTAAATATCTGTTCCTTGGAAGATCGAGAAGAAGGGAAGCAGATTAACAAAATCCAGGAAATTCTCAAATTTTAAAACAGAATTCTAGCACCAGAGCTAGGAGCGGTGGGGGCNGCCTTGTAATAGTTCAGACATTTTGAGTGTGCAAAACTAAGGTGGGGGAGATAGGGTTTGTTTATATTTAACTACATAATGTTTTTATCCAGTTTATCTTAGATAAACGATACAAAGTAAAAACTGAATTGACAAGCACAGTCTTTTTTTACATTCTTTGCTATTGTTGTCACAAAAATCTAGTTTCAGACCTACGTCACAACCTTGGCTCCCTGACTCCCTTGACATATTGGTGCAAATTGCCCAAAATCAAACCGTAGGTTCTGTCATGTCAGAGTGGCAAGGTATCTATCAAAATGATTTTAAAAAATTTAAGAATTTTTAAAATTACAAATGTATTAGATTGTCGAACTATAATCATGCCATAATACTTCTTTGGATTTGGGGCAGTTGCAAAGCTTGACGGTTGGCTGTTTTTGATTTATTAATGATTTAGGAGCGTAAACCGGAAAACGTCTGGGGGGGGGGTTAACCCTGTGAACTCCTCTTTAATAATTACCTTGATACGGGACTTTGCTACAGTCGCAAATTGGTTTATCTCCTTCCGGTGTACAGACCCCGCCATTTTTACAAGGTTGACCGGAACAAGGGTGTACAGCATCAACCTGCTGGATCAACGATACCAGGTCAACACTATCAGAATCCACTTTAACCAATTTCAAACTTCCAGAAAACTTCATTTCATCCTGACATAATAATAACAAATCTATAGTTACTAGGATTTTTAGGCATCAATTTTCTAACGTTTAAGAATAATATGATAGAAAGAAAGGATGGATGGATAGAAGATATACTCCTCTATAGGTGGATAGAAGGATAGAGGGATAGAAGGATAAAAGGATAGCATGGATAGATGGATAGAATGATAGAAAGATAGAAGGATGTGAGGATAGAAGAACAGAAGGACAGATGGATATATGATTAAAAGAATAGAAAGATAGAAGGATAGAAGGATAGTAGGTTAGAAAGTTAGAGTGTTACAAGGATGGAAGGATAGATGAATACAAGTAAATTTGATGTCAGCCATCTTTTTAGTTTAGTAATTTCTTGAGTCGCTAGAGGGAATTTAGGATAGAAAACTTTAAATTTCTGGTTAAATCATCTTTTTACATTGAAACCATTTCACTTTGAAGTGAAATAAAATCCCAACAAAGTTTCTATTCCCCTAAGAGGACAATAAGAGAACAAGTAAACTTGAGTTTTCATGTCATAGTGGAGAAAATATATGCGAGACAAACTTTTTTATTTCTCATCGTTTATAATAACAAAACTTAGAGATAAACTTTAAATAGGTTAGTTGTTAGGGTTTCTTTAAAAAACGACTAAAGTTTCAAATTTGGTCTTTTTAATTTATAAATTCTTGAATTTGAAATTTCGAGGATACACTAAGAATGGTTTTGCTTATTAAATACCTTGTTCGTTGTAATGACGTCATCACTAATTTTGTATCAAAATGTAATCACAGCAGTTCACAATTTATTTTGAAGTCTGAGAAAAAGTTTAAGATCAACTAAAGCATAGTCAGTGTATCTTATTCCTCCTTTAGCAATAATTTATCTCAGCTATAAAAACTCATTTAAAATGTTTTATTCTAATTATTAAAACTTTTCAACTTGTGGTTTAAATTGGTTATTTTATTTTTTTTTATTTTATTTGGCTGCATTCAGAGTTTGAAATATCAAAGAACTAAATCAACAGTTACAAAATAATAGGAAAATTATTTTAAAGTATGCTGAGCCGAGTAATCAGTTTTTTTAAATCGTTTCATCTTTGTTTATTGATTTCCTACTTTTCTTTTATTATGTTTATTATACGCTCAACATTTCAAAACTGTAATATTTTCATTTCTTTTGAAATAAGAAGCTTCGTAATACTGGGATTTAGAAGATAATTTATCACATATTTATTTAAAATATCAAATATATAGCTTTTTCCAAGTTTTCAAAGACTCTGTAGCAAGTCCCATAAATCTAAAGATGTATAGATAAAAGATGAATTGGTGAAGTTTTTAAAGAAGTTTTGACCATGTTCTGCCATCTTTAAATGATAGATTGGAACCTTATGCAATTTCTTAGACTCAGGAGGTGAAATAAGGAGAATTTAGCAAAGTTCAAGAGATCTAATAATTTCAGGGAGAATTTAGCAAAATGATGGAATTTCAGGGAGAATTTATCTAAATTAATGGAATTTCAGGGAGAATTGATCTAAATTAATGGAATTTCAGGGAGAATTTTACTAAATTAATTGGATTTCAGGGAGGATTTAGGTAGGTTAATGGATTTTCAAGGAGAATTTAGGTAAATTAATGGAATTTCAGGGAGAATTGATCTAAATTAATTGAATGTCATGGAGGATTTAGGTTGGTTAATGGAATTTCAGGGAGAATTTATCTAAATTAATGGAATTTCAGGGAGAATTTTACTAAATTAATTCAATTTCAGGGAGGATTTAGGTAGTTTAATGGAATTTCAGGGAGAATTTATCTAAATTAATGGAATTTCAGGCAGAATTTGGGTAAATTAATGGACTTTCAAGGAGAATTTAGCAAAATGTTTGGGATTTAAAGGAGAAATTAGGTAGATTGATGAGATTTCAGGGAGAATTTTACTAAATTAATTGGATTTCAGGGAGAGTTTAGCTAAATTATTGGAATTTCAGGGAGACTTTAGCTAAATTTATGGAATTTCAGGCAGAATTTAGCTAAATTATTGGAATTTCAGGGAGAATTTAGCTAAATTTATGGGATTTCAGGGAGGATTTAGCTAAATTTCCTTTTTCCTGATTTATCATCACTCTTATTTTTAAAATGTACAATGTACATTGTTTTTATCTGCAATTCTCATTAGTTTATAGTGGGCCAGCCAATTAATACAACCTACTCTGGTTAGGCGGGTCCAAACTACATAGTAAATTGTGATTTTTTTATTTGTATTATCTCGTGCTTTGTAGTTGAATAAAAATATGAAATAAAAAATTGACGGGATTTCTGGGAGAATTTAGCTAAATTATTGGGATTTCTGGGAGAATTTAGCTAAATTATTGGAATTTCAGGGAGAATTTGGCTAAATTAATTGGATTTCAGGGAGAATTTAGCAAAATGTTTGGGATTTTAGAGATAATTTAGGTATATTAATGGAATTTCAAGGAGAACTTAGCTAAATTGGCGGGATTTCTGGGAGAATCTAGGTAAATCAAGAGATTTCAGGGAGATTTGCTAAATTATTGGAATTGGGATAATTTAGCTAAATCATTGGAAGTTCAGGGAGAATTTAGCTAAATTAATGGGATTTCAGGGGGAATCTTAACCTTAACAAGAGCACAGAAAAATATATAATTTTTAGTTTGTTAATGAGTTAGACAGAAATTATTATTAACTTTATTAACATCAAAGGGTGTGTTTGTGTACCAAAAGGGAATACACTATGGAGGCAAACTTCTACAAATCCTAAACAACGGAAAAATAAGATTTTATTTTCAACTTCGCACAAACTTGAAACTTTCCGAGCTAAGGATGAAAAATAAAAATATTAATTTTAGTTTCAGGTTTAACTTGGGACTGATCCTCTCATGAATTTATTATTATTTACCCCGAGGTTGAAACTTATGTATCTTAAATCTGTTTTTTCAGCGCAGAAGCAGTTCTTTTCCCCATGTAGACGGTTCAACCCTAAATCACTGAACCACCACGGGGGCGTATTCAAGGGGGCGGCTATCGGGGCTAAGCCCCCCTTTGGGCCAGTGAAATCTATCGATTTCGGACCCCAGCGGGTGATGAGCCTAGAATCCTAGAATCCTAGAATCATAAAATCATAAAATCATTGAATCCAAGAATTCTAGAATCCTAGAATCCTAGAATCCTAGAATCCTAGAATCCTAGAATCCTAGAATCCTAGAATCCTAGATTCCCAGAATCCTAGAATCCTAGAATTCTAGAATCATATAATCATAGAATCTTTGAATCATAGAATCATACAATCTCAGAATCCTAGAATCCTTTGTTTTGTTTTTCAATATATTTACCTTGCCACCCAGCTGAACCCTCAATGCTCTGGGTATAGATGTTGTATCCTGATATATCTTAGTTCTATCCAGACCTAGATACAAAATGTGAACACTTGACTCAAACTAAAAAAGTGTAATCCCCTGTACTTATGCAACCTGTTTTTGTACACTTTTAGTATTTTAAACATTGACTATTAACTCTATCAGAATTCTTATGTTAAAATATGAAAGGTAAACGACATCAGGTTAGATATTTCATAATTAACATTTAGTTCAACACTTGCCTCAAATTAAAATTTTCTAATCCATAAACTTGTTCAACCTGATGCTGTAAACATTTGATTATTCAAAGCTTTAGTATTAGCTTTATCAGAATTGAAAGTAAATTAGATTAGAAATAGGGATTAGAAAATTCGAATCAGAGACAAGTGTTGAGTTATTTTTTCAGTGCCACTGCATAAAAACAACCTATCTAGAAATAATATAACTACTTAACGACCAGAAATTCTTCAAATAGTGTAAATATAGTTTACAAGTAAATGAAAAAAGTTCCGAAAAAAAAACAATAAGAATCTAAGCACAGGCATATTTTTTCCTTTTGCTGCAGTATCAATTAGTTTAAATAGTTTAAGGTAAACCTAATCTTCATAATACTCAAGAGAATATTTCTAATTACAGGCAAAGTCTGCGCATTATACTATTATATAAGGAATGGCCAAAACTAGAAATAGTTATTGAATGATAAAGAAATTAAACAAAATAGATTTTTAAGGATAAATATATGTTTTCGATAGTCTTGTATATATAAGTTTGTTATTTCTGTTTGTCTGTCTGGGTTTTTATTTGTTTGATTAATTTAGTTTCCAGACAAAGCTGGGTTCCCAAGGTAGTAGATAGACATATTGTTTGATATTAAATAGAAAAGAAAGATAGTTACCTATAAAGACACCTAGATGAGATCTCTCAAGGATAACAGAGTGCCATTTATCATCACACAACCTGAACCATACAGGGGGTTATAAAATACTGGATATACAATACTGGATAAACAGGGGGGGTTTAAAATACTGGATATTCAGGGGGTATACAGATACTGGATATAAAGGGGGTATAAAATACTGGATATACAGGGGGTATACAAATACTGGATATACAGGGGGTATACAGATACTGGATACACAGGGGGAACAAAGATACTGGTATTCAGGGGGTATACAGATACTGGATATAAAGGGGGGTATTAAGATACTGGATATACAGGGGGTATCCTGATACTGGATACACAGGGGGTATATAGATACTGGATAAACAGGGGGTATCCAGATACTGGACATACATGAAGTATATAGATACTGGATTTGGAGGGGGTATCCAGATACTGGATATACAGGGGGTATATAGATACTTGATATACAGGGGGGTATACAGATACTGGATATACAGGTTGTATACGAATACTGGATATACATGTTGTATACGAATACTGGATATATACTGCGTAGTGATCAAGCTTAAACGATATCCTTTTGTATAAATTATAGAAACATTAAAGTTAATAATATGTAGATATATCATAAATATGATCTATGGATTTACTAAGTAACACTTTTATGGACTCTGAATACATTTCATATTTTTGTATATTTACAAGAAATCACCTTAGTGCTGTAAACACTACTTTTCTGTTGACAATAATGTTACTGTTAGCAATATTTTCCCCACAATCTACTCTCACATCCACCAATTGGGTATCCTGAGAATAAATCATCAAGTTAAATTGAAGAAATAAATTTATTTAAAGTTTTCAATTTGGAAAATGTTTTTAACTTATTTTCGTAAATATTCAATTTTTCTTTTTTTTATAAAGAAAGATTTGACGAGTTCTATTTGAAATAATATCAACAAATATTTCCTTTTATCTATGAATTTTTGTGTGAGATTATGCTGAATAAAATTGTAAAATTCAATCTTTATCCATCTTACTCTTGTTTGAATATGTCTATAAACTGCCACAATAGATTATAGAATACCCGGCCATGTGAGTATATATTTAAGGAAGGAAGGGCGAGGGGGGCCTGAACTTTAATTCTGGAGAAAAAAACTGTTGACAACACTACGCGGTTGAAAACTGTTGTATTTTTTTAAAAATTCCAATTGAAACCACTAATCCGTAGCGATAAAATTGTAGCACTTTATTATACAAAAGTTAAGACATCATGCTGTGCAGTAGAGGCTAAAATGCATTTATAAGATTACAACAAAAGTTTTGAACGGGGTTTTAAAAATAATCTTATCTTGATAAATTTACAGTAAATCACATCCCAATAATCGAAAACTAAGTCTTAAAAGTGAAAAACAATTTTACCCTTCCTTCAATTCAAGATCTGAAGTTAATATTCCAAGTTTAACAACGAATGGAGTAACAAACGAAAATAATTATATGTTAATACATTTATTTATTCACTGATAAACCTGCGGAAAAAAATTGAATTCAGACCACTAATATATAAATACAATTTTATTTTCAATTATTTAAGATATCTTCATGAACTTTAGATTTAATAATCGACCTAGGTTTATTCACTGCATACCATGTCTAGTGTAGAGGATTTAGTAAATAATTTAGATTAGGTTTAATCGAGTTTAATATACTTAATGTTTAATTTACCTTAGATTTTAGTAGTAAAACCAGTTGAAACAGATTCCCTTGATATCCTACAATATTTAGTATGTGTTTAATATTAAACTCAACCCAGTCCCAGAGTAAACTCCTTTTCACCCATAGATATTTATTTATCTATGTTTTCACCAAATTAGTATTTTAATTTTTCGTTTTTTTCCTGTCATTGTATTGTATACAACAAAGATTTTTAGGGCCTCTAGTTTACTTATTGATTTAATTACTTCTTTAATCATAATATTAAAAATTTCACGGATTTTCTGTTTTAATTAAACAAGTTCCAAAACTTCTTAAAATCGAAAGTTTAGAAATACTAGGCCTAGTTAGTTCAGCCGTATTGACGTTTATTTGATAAAAACCAACCATAATCATGACTAAACCAAATAAAATAAAGAGGAATGAGAACTGAAAAGAAATATTTATACCATCCTGAAATGTTTGTGTCTACATCTAAATATACTTTTGAACATTAAAATGATCAACTCTTTAAATTAGAAATATAATTTTTTCCCTGAAGTTTTATTTTTTCTATTCTCTATGATTAATAATTCTCTTTTTGCCAAAGTTCCGTTTACTTCAAACTCTTTATCATATCCCTATTTCCTTCCTAATCCAACTTCCTTCCCTCCTTCCCCTCTATCCATACCACCTACTCTCTCCTTCCCCACCCCACTTCCTCTTCCTATACCACCAACTCTCTCCTTCCCCACCCCACTTCCTCTTTCTATACCACCTACTCTCTCCTTCCCGACCCCACTTCCTCTTTCTATACCACAAACTTTCTCCTTCCCCACCCACTTCCTCTTTCTATACCACCAACTCTCTCCTTCCCCACCCCACTTCCTCTTCCCATACCACCAACTCTCTCCTTCCCCACCCCACTTTCTCTTCCCATACCACCTACTCTCTCTTTCCCCACTCCACTTCCTCTTCCCAGACCACCAACTCTCTCTTTCCCAACCCTACTTTCTCTTCCCATACCACCAACTCTCACTTTCCCAACCCTACTTTCTCTTCCCATACCACCAACTCTCATTTTCCCAACCCTACTTTCTCTTCCCATGCCATCCAACTCTCTCTTTCCCAACCCTACTTTCTCTTCCCATACCACCAACTCTTATTTTCACAACCCTACTTTCTCTTCCCATACCACCAACTCTCATTTTCCCAACCCTACTTTCTCAACCCATACCACCAACTAACTCTCATTTTCTCGACCCTACTTTCTCTTTCCATACCATCCAACTACTTCCTTTCCCATCCTACTTCCCTCTTCCATCACTACTGCCTCATCTCACCCCTCCTTATACGCACGTCNNNCCCCCAACCTGGATCCGATTATAATGATGGAGTAATGTGATTAGCAGTTTTATTCACTAGTACAATTAATCTACTATTTAGTTGCCGGATATACTCTTAACGATTGGGAAAATGTTATAATTCTGCTGAATTCTCCATTAATATTTCCCCAAACACTGTGCTACATTTTTTTTGATAATTTGAATATTATTTTTGGTGTTTATATATACTGTAAATATTGGGCGTGTGAACACATTCTACTGTATTGACGTATATTTGGACTGCTGGATATTATAGTTTTATCAAACATATCACAGATTGTAAAAAAAGATGTCAAAATATGTCATAATAAAATGTACATAAACTCTATCCCCCATTACCTTCAGTGAACATAGCTTGATTTTTTCCATTTGATTGATTTTTAAATTCATTTCAAGAGGGTCAACTTTTAAGCTGCTAGAGCAAGCTTTACAGTACACATACAGACTATATGAGGCCAAACAGAAAGACCACCAGACGAATCATCTACTGCTAGGGAGATTCTAGTGTTCTATTACCTTTAGTTTTGAACTCGAATTCCAGCGTTGACATCTCCGTAGGAAAACTATCCAGGTAAACCTTGTCATCCAACTCCTAAATAATTGTTTTACAAAATTCCTTAACAATTATTTTTATAAAATCCAATTTCTAGTTCTGTGTTTAGTTTAGTATCATTGGCGCAAAGACCATTTTATGACATCATAATTTTTCTAGTTTATGTGATTAAAGAATGATATCTATATCATTGGTTTCAGTTTCACATACAGATTTCAAAAGAGTTTTTTATTTTATCAATTGGAGGATTATAAGTTTGGGTTAAAATCACGCACGTTGAACAAAAGTTTATTGTGAGTATTTAAATTTTGTTGAAGATAATAATGCCTCTTTAAATGATTATACGGTTATCAAATTAAAAATGTTAAGATACAAAAATAATGTTAAAAATGTTCATGATGGATGACACTGATAATTATGATACTTGATGTGTACCTGGATTGAAGCTGATGGGTTTGCATTATGTCCTGTACACATGAGCGGACCCAAGCTAAACCTTGCTTCCTGAATATAATGTCTTAAGTAATCTGCCGAGTGCCATTTCCGATTCACAAGGGTACACCGTACACCGTAAACCGTATACCGTACACGGTACACCGTATTCGTACACCGTACACCGTACACCATCACCGTACACCGTACACCGTACACCGTACACCGTACACCGTACACCGTACACCGTACACCGTACACCGTACACCGTACACCGTACACCGTACGCCGTGTCCGTACACCGTACACCGTATATCGTACAGTCCCATTCAAACATCAAAACGAACAATTGTTTTAGCATTCAATAATTTACAAAAATGTATTAAAAATTTCATCACTCAAAAAATACGTTACTTATGTTTTTGTTTTTGTAATTTAAAGGAAATTTTATGTTGATTGTAAACATCCTGTGAATTTCCCTGGAAAATAAGGTTTGCATCAATAAAGTATGTATGAGCTCTGTGCTATGAGATATTATATTACAGTGTCCCAGCAGTACAAGGGGGGGAAGAAGAGGATTAATTAATTTCCCTTTTCCTTCAAATAAATTGTTTCTTTTCACGAAGATTGTTTCTTTAAAAATTACACTTTTCTGCAGTTGTCACAGCGCTGAAAGATATTTTTACAAACATATAATTTTAAGAAAAATATTATTTTTTTTATTTACCTTGTTATCAAAAGGAGTTCCTGTATCACCAAAGAACAATGCTGCAACGGGTAAATTCTTCTAAAATAAATATTTTTAAGCAAAAATTTTTATATCGCCAGTAAAATATTTTTCCTATTATGAAATATTTTTTTATAAAAACTCATGCAGTGAATGCCAAGTTTAAAACATTGAATAAACCTAATGGTTGAAGGGTTGTGGCCATGCACCTTTTCCCTCTTCTTGAAAACTGACAAAAATGAGGGGGGGGGGAGAACCCCCATGTAAACCAACCTTGCTATTGATGAAACCTCCGTCTGACTGCCAGGATGAGGATTGAGAATCACAGTTGCAGGATTTGGTTGAATTGAAACATGTTCTATCCACTCCACATCCACATATACCAGAGGAAATGGAGGAGGAGGAGGAGGAGGGATGAATGGATGATAAATCAGCAGAAATCGAAAATGGAGGAAGGCGTTGAGAAGAGAAAGGTGCAGGGTCTCCTGGCCAATTCTCCATTCTTTCTCCAGTACTAAATTAATTTATTTAAACACCCCCTATTTCATATTATATAATGGGGAACTTTTTCTATAATTTTGATTTTCTCCGAAAATTAATTCTGAAGTTATTTTAAGTGACCCATTATTTAAAAGATTGTCCGATTGACAACGGTACCCTATAGCTTTGTCTGATCAAGAATTAGTGCAGTGCAATTGGTTAATGTCAATATAGGGTTTTCTATTTACAGACTTGTGGATTTCTAGCTACAGATACAATGGAGGATATTGTAAGAATAAAAGAAAGTTAGAAAAACAAGATATTTGATTGTTAATAAGCAAACTGTTTGAAGGGTACCCTGTAGAGTCGGATATGTCGCTCTTTAAAGGGAAAGTCGCTTAAAATTGCGTCCTTTAAAAAAACTACCAATGTTAACAATTATTGCGGTAGAGTTTGCAGCCTTTGGATAATCGAGGGAGAGGGGGCAGTATTTTTTTGTTATTTTTGTTTAAGATTTCGATAGAGGATGTTTAAAGATTGGGGCCACATTTTATCCTAAAAAATGGAATTGCATTATTAAAAAGTATTGTAAAAGAAACTGCTCTCTAATACCCACTCTATGGTTGATATTGTAAAAGAAACTGCTCTCTAATACACTCTATGGTTGGTATATTGTAAAAGAAACTGCTCTCTAATACCCACTCTATGGTTGATATTGTTAAAGTAACTGCTCTCTAATACCCACTCTATGGTTAATATTGTAAAAGAATCTCTAATACACTCTATGGTTGGTATATTGTAAAAGAAACTGCTCTCTAATACCCACTCTATGGTTGATATTGTTAAAGTAACTGCTCTCTAATATTCACTCTATGGTTAATATTGTAAAAGAAACTGCTCTCTAATATCCACTCTATGGATAATATTGTAAAAGAAACTGCTCTCTAATACCCACACTCTATGGTTGATATTGTAAAAGAAACTGCTCTCTAATACCCACTATATGGTTGATATTGTTAAAATAACTGTCCTCCAATACTCCCTCTATGGTTAATATTGTAAAAGAAACTGATCTCTAATATCCACTCAATGGATAATATTGTAAAAGAAACTGCTCTCTAAACACTCCCTCTATGGTTGGTATTGTAAAAGTAACTGCTCTCTAATACCCACTCTATGGTTGATATTGTTAAAATAACTGCTCTCCAATACTCCCTCTATGGTTAATATTGTAAAAGAAACCGCTCTCTAATCTCCACTCTATGGTTGAAATTTTAAAAGAAACTGCTCTCTAATACACTCTATGGTTGATATTGTAAAAGAAACTGCTCTCTAATACCCACTCTATGATTGATATTGTAAAAGAAACTGCTCTCTAATACACTCTATGGTTGATATTGTTAAAGAAACTGCTCTCTAATACTCTCTCTATGGTTAAAATTGTAAAAAAAAACTGCTCTTTAATACACTCTATGGTTGATATTGTAAAAGAAACTGCTCTCTAATACCCACTCTATAGTTGATATTGTAAAAGAAATTGCTTTCTAATACCCACTCTATGGTTGATATTGTAAAAGAAACTACTCTCTAATACCCACTCTATGGTTGATATTGTAAAAGAAACTGCTCTATAATACCCACTCTATGGTTAATATTGTAAAAGAAACTGATCTCTAATATCCACTCTATGGATAATATTGTAAAAGAAACTGCTCTCTAAACACTCCCTCTATGGTTGGTATATTGTAAAAGAAACTGCTCTCTAATACCCACTCTATGGTTGATATTGTTAATGAAAATGCTCTCTAATACCCTCTCTATGGTTAATATTGTAAAAGAAACTGCTCTCTAATATTCCACTCAATGGTTGGAATTATTATAGTTCAGCACTTTCTTACATCTGTCCGCACAGTTATTCCTTCACATGCCATATATCTTGTCTTTTCTATCTATTCATTTCTATCCAGGAATATTAATTTCTATCCAGGAATATTCATTTCTATCCAGGAATATTCATTTCTATCCTGGAATATTCATTTCTATCCAGGAATATTCATTTGTATCCAGGAATATTCATTTCTATCCAGGAATATTCATTTCTATCCAGATATATTCATTTGTATCCAGGAATATTCATTTCTATCCAGGAATATTCATTTCTATCCAGGAATATTCATTTCTATCCAGAAATATTCATTTCTAAATATTCATTTCTATCCAGGAATATTCATTTCTATCCAGAAATACTCATTTGTATCCAAGAATATTCATTTCTATCCAGAAATATTCATTTCTATCAAGGAATATTCATTTCTATCAAGAAATATTCATTTCAATCAAAGAATATTCATTTCTACTCAGGGATATTCATTTCTATATAGTTATATTAATTTCTATCCAGAAACATTTTTTTCATCCAAGAATATCATTACCAATAAAAAACATTTCTTGTGCAGATTAAATGTGTGAGCGCTCAATTTTTAGGTATAAAGGAATATTTCGGTCATCTTAGGGTTTAGGATCAGGATCAGATATTAATGGAGGGTAACATGCAATTTTGTCTCCAGTCCCCTTAATAATCTTGTACCTGGAGACCCACCAACCAGCCCCACCCTCGAGCAATCTCGACTCCTTACAATCATATCTAAAATATTTAAAATTATACTGAAGATAGTGGTATTAGAAATAATGGAAGGGGAAAACAGTGGGGTTAATCTATCGTATTAAAAATTATAGCGTTAATGACTAATTTCCTCTCACATTCTAAAATTCGAGAAAAAAAGAATTCGTTATATTGTTGTACAAGCAAAGTATTGTGCTAAGATGATATTTTAATATTTTGATAATCCACCAGTCAAGTTTAACTTTGTACTCTTCAAGGGATTAACCTAGCCGGGAGTTTAACAAATATTTTATTTACTTCACAGAACTTTTGTGGTCCACAGGGGCCTGGAGGGGGGGGGGGGGGCATGACAAGGGCAGCTTACAAGAACAGAGGTTATACCAGGTCAAGAGCCGCGTCAAAGGATAGGGGATTTCCAGGTTAGGGTCTACCTTCATAGACAGGGAGTTTACCAAAATAGGGACTGCACACTTAATAGGAAATATATCAGGAAAGATGGGTCATACTGCATACACGAAGAAATGGAATGGTATGAAAGGTGCTACAATAAAAGGATAGTAGGCATGCATGATGAAAGGGGCTACATACAAGAATAAGAGGAATGGGATGAAAGGAGCTACATACAAGAATAATAGGAATGGGATGAATGGGGCTACATACATGGATAATAGGAATGGGATGAAAGGGGCTACATACAAGGATCATACACATGTGATGAAAGTGGCTACATACAAGAATAGGAAGCATATTATGAAAGGGGTTACATACAAGGATAATGGGAATGTGATGAAAGGGGCTACAAACAAGAATAATAGGAATGGGATGAAAGGGGCTACATACAAGGATAATAGGAATGGGATGAAAGGGGCTACATACATGGATAATAAACATGTGATGAAAGTGGCTACATACAAGGAAAGGAAATATATGATGAAAGGGGCTACATAAAAGAATAGGAAGCATATTATGAAAGGGGTTACATTACATACAAGGATAATGGGAATATGATGAAAGGGGCTACATAAAAGGATAATAGGAATGTGATGAAAGGGGCTATATACAAGAATAGGAAGCATATTATGAAAGGGGTTACATACAAGGATAATGGGAATGTGATGAAATGGGCTACATAAAAGGAAAGGAAGCATATAATGAAAGGGGCCACATAAAAGGCTGATATACATATGATGAAAGTGGCTACATACAATGAAAGGAAATATATGATGAAAGGGGCTACATACAAGGATAATAGGAATGTGATGAAAGTGGCTACATAAAAAGAAAGGGGCTGCATATAGGTACTATACCTGAGATACTGTGAGCACGAGGAAGATATATTGACCAGCTCTTCAATAAACTCCCAGGGAGCGTGATAATGAATATTTTGTTTGAAGGACCCTGGCTCCTGAAACAGTAATATTATAAAGGTTATTAGCTTAAAGTACAAATGTTATGCACAATTCTGTTTAAATTATTTCAATTATTAAAAAATGTATTCTTAGAAAATGTAAGGTATTCTTGGAGTGTGTAAGGTTTCTTTACCTAAAACCAAGGTTTACCGAAAACCAAGGTTTATCTAATACCAAGATTTAGCAAAAAAACCAAGGTTTACCTAAAACCAAGATTTACCTAAAACCAAGGTTTACCTAAAACCAAGGTTTACCTAAAACCAAGATTTACCTAAAACCAAGATTTACCTGAAACCAAAATTTACCTAAAACCAAGATTTAGCGAAAATCAAGGTTTATGAAAATCAAGGTTTATGAAAATCAAGGTTTATGAAAATCAAGGTTTATGAAAATCAAGGTTTATGAAAACCAAGGTTTATGTAAAAATGTGAAACAAAAATGTACCTAAAACTAAGATTTACCTGGAACCAATAATTACATAAAAACAAGGATTACCTGAAATCAAGATTTACCTGAAACCAAGATTTACCTGAAACCCGTCAATTTTAGTATCTTCTTCGTTATCATGTTCAATAGTTGTAACTATTTCCTCTCCTCGTATACTAAACAGTAAACATGTTAAATATAATGCTAACCACTAGTGTATAAACCTCGTATACTAAACAGTAAAAATATTAAATATAATACTAACCACCAGTGTATAAACCTTGTATACTAAACAGTAAACATATTACATATAATGCTAACCACTAGTGTATAAACCTCGTAAACTAAACAGTAAACATATTACATATAATGCTAACCACTAGTGTATAAACCTCGTAAACTAAACAGTAAACATATTACATATAATGCTAACCACTAGTGTATAAACCTCGTAAACTAAACAGTGAACATATTAGATATAATGCTAACCACTAGTGTATAAACCAGAATAATTTTCATTAACTTTGTAGTAGCTTCAAAGTACTATGCTTATATAAGATAAATATATTGTTAATATGTCGAGCTGTAACTATCAAAATGAAAGTTTCCTGTTTAATATTTCAGAGAAATGTTCAATATCATCCCTTGACATATTTAATATCAAAACTTCCCAATAATTTAGTTTATTTGATTAATATCATCATACATTGACCAAGAATGATCAATGGATGTACATGGGTAAGTTTTTGTTCACATAAAAGCTAATTTTTGAGCTCTCTTCAGTATCTTTACCAACGTCAAGTATTGTATTTTTATTCTTAAATATATACAGGGATATCAACAAAAAGATTAGGCTTTAAAATTCGACCTGAAAACCTTCAAATCTAACGATTTAAAGGCAATATTTGTTCTGCTGCTTTAAATATATCTTTTTAAAGGTACTTTTAATGACAAATATACAAGTGTACAGCTACCGGACCAGGACCATGTATGTGTGGAAATAAACCGACTAAATTTTGCAATGTCGTCTTATTCTTTTTGGGGTAAGCCGGTATATAAAACTCTTTATTCTAATATACTTATGTGAAGCTTTATGTTCTTTTGCAATTTGTATCTTATTTAATTATAAGTAAAAACTAATGAAGCTGCATGGCTAAATAAGTAAAAACTAATGAAGCTGCATGGTTAAATAAGTAAAATCTAATGAAGCTGCATGGCTAAATAAGTAAAAACTAATGAAGCTGCATGGTTAAATAAGTAAAATCTAATGAAGCTGCATGGCTAAATAAGTAAAAACTAATGAAGCTGCATGATTAAATAAGTAAAAACTAATGAAGCTGCATGGCTAAAACTGTCAAATTAAGGGGGAAGTAAAACTAATATTCTTTATATTTACAGGTTTACTTTATTCTCTTTTTATTAGGTAACATAGAAGCCAGGGGCTGGGATCAGGTTGAGTTTTGAAAAAGAATTTCTATTTCAATTTTCTATGTTTCTGAGTTTGACAGAGAATGATCAATGATAAATGCATTTCTATTCAAAAGGAGTATAATAAATATTACTATATTTTCTCTTACTTCTCTGATTTCTATTTTCCTTTTGTCTTTTTCTATATTTTCTTTTTATATATATACAATATACATATGTTTAAACAGTGTCAGAATTTAATGAATTTGAGCCGCGGCTTAAATCTGCCAAAAACCGGTTTCAATTGAGCGCCGGGTTAAATCTTGAAAAATTGAATACAATTTATATTGGAATCAACCATATTTGAGCCGCGGCTTGAATTCTTTTAATTCGACCTCTAGTTTTAAAATTTTTTAACTGCTTTTATTTTAATATTTAAAAAACACAAAAGGCTGTGAATATTATTTATTTCTAATTAGGTTCCCAAAAAGAGTCGAAAGCAAACTAAATTTTGTGTATTGCTTTGGCAAGATCATGCCGGAAATTTTATTTTTAGATTTTCTCAATTTCATTTTTTTTCGGATTAAGCTTAGTGTCTACAAAGATGATCCTAAGAGGAAATTGAAACGGGGTTCGTTCAAATATACACAATTTACAGTAATAACCAATTAAAAACGGAATTATTTTCGTCTTCCTTTTGAACTTATTTTTGTAACATTTATATCTATCCTAGCTTGGGAACCCAGCCTTGTCTTAAAACTAAACTTTACGTATTAAAGTCAACCTACTTAACCAAGCGAAAATACCCGTGGTTCTACCGAGTTTCCCGATCAAAGACGACATTCATTCTACTGTTAGGTCTAGATTATATTCTACCTGCATTTGACAGTGACAGGTTTGAGTTGACCCGATCCATCTAGATCTATGATATATGAACTAGGTATATCTAGACTCAAACCACTGTTTATAGACTCAAACACCTAAAAGAAAAATCATTCTTTTCGAAACAAGTTTATTATTATTTTTGTACAAAGAAACCTAGTATTTAACAACCATTTAGTCTTATTATGGTTATATATTACACACAGAGTATAAGTTGAAAATACATTGTTTTCAGAAATCCTTTGGACATCAATATATTTCAAGCTTTTTGGCAGTGTAAATAAAAACTTTAATCTATTAGATTTAAAAAATTATCAAAGGCTGAAAAGAAATCTGGAAAGGAAAAGTAAAAGGTGCAAAAATGTGAGATAAAAAAACGTTTATTTTTTGATTCTGACAGATTTATAATTGATTTATAATTAAAAGGTTTGTCAACATTTTCTTTAACTAAAATCTGAAGAGTTTGCAAGATTTCCCATAAGAAAACCTGTTAGTTTAGGGAAAGTAGAAAATGAATGAAATGTTGAAGTAAGATTAATTCTAAAAGATGAAAAAGAGAGAAAAAACTTTTAGAAGAACAATTTGCCACAAAATCTAATTTTCTAATCCCTTTGTCTTTGTAATCTAATGTTGTAGACCTTAGATATTTTCAACTATGAATTCTGCCCGATGAAATAATTTTGAAGGTGTACAACAGCAGGTTGCAAATATATAGGGATTTTGATTTTGATTTGAGTTTGTGGCAAAGACTCAATTACTTTACTAAATTGAATAAGTTTTTTTTTATAATTTTGCCTGAAAAGCAGGATATTTCTTAAATTTATAAAAAAAACTGAAACATAATCACTAAACAAAAGGATAAAAAATTGAGAAAGGATTTATTTTTTCATAATTTTTTTTTTAATTTTTGTGCTAAAAGTGGTCTGTTAATTATCATTCTATTATTTATTCATTTTTATTAAAGTAAGAGATACAGTACTCTGCCCAATAATACCTGTGTACATGAGGTGGGGTTTAAGGATATACCACAAGTTGTACCACTGTACCCTGTTCCTGTACAGTTGCACACATCCTCAAACATTTACCGAGTAATTTTATTTTATACAGATAAAAATCTTTCTTTTTTCACCATTATTACTACAATGCTAGGTTTAATTTTTTTGGGGACTTTTGCCAGTTTTAATTTTCACTTGCATTTTATATTTCATAAATTGTTTTATATTTTTATTGATTAACAGATTGATTGATTGTATACAAATCTTACATTAACTTGTTAGCTCTATCAATTGTTTTAAAATTGCATATATGCTTGATTGATCAATATAAGTTTTATAGATTTATTGATTGATTGATTGAAATTAGAATATTTACTTTAAAGCAGATTCCTCCATGCCTGCATCCACATGTATCCTCTAGAGCACAGCCAACTTGAACACCATCTTCTGTTTCTAACTCCCTGCGTAGAAACTAGATATTTGTGTTTTTTTATTAGTTTTTTACTCCAGATTATTGTCTTCTGTGGTTTCTTGAGTTGAAACTGATTAAAAACTAAATATTCACTTTTCTATATTTTATCCTGCGTATAGAAACTATAATTTTCTTTTTTAGTTATTTTTAAACGTTCTTCAAAGAAACTAGATATTCATCTTGTTTAAAACTCCCTTCGCAGAAACTAGGATCATCTTTTATGATTACTTTTTTTATTTCTGCGTAGAAATTATATTTATATTTTCTGATTAGTTTTGCAACTTATAATGAATATGAAAGATCAATGAGTTTAGAATTTGCGATGACAAAAATGAAATTTTTACTATTTTGTCAGTAATTTTAAATTCGACTGGCTAATTGAAAGTGTCAAAGTGTATGACCTGATTCTGCAGTGCATGACAAAAATTATGTAAATATGAATTGACTATAGGGCTGAACACGTTCAGATTTTTTTCAATACATTCCTTAACGGTTAGTTAAAATCGTTAAAACTTTTCTGGTAGCCGTACATTCTTCAGCTAACAATTAAACGTTCCGTTTGTTTTCGATATTTGCCGTTCTTTCTCGAAGTTTTTGTTCGTTAACGATCCCAATTTTGTTAACGGAAGATATTTTAGAAATCATAAATAGTGCCAGCCATTAACGAGACGTTAACTATTATTTAACGTAAAAATATCTGGAAAAATTTGAAGAAAACATTGAAAAAAAATTAAATAACGTTAACAACATCGAAAATGTTTTATGCAATTTTAAGTTGAAATAATTAACGAAACTCGCCATTATTTTAAAACATATCCGTACATTCTTTTTTATCAGATATTTACTTTTTTCTTTAAAAATTCCGTATTTTAACGATTTTGAAATTAACGGGTTTGCCGATCGTTAACAGAATCTTCCCTTAGAATTTCAAAACTTTCCATTTGTTCACAGAACGTTTCCCAACCCTAGAATTGAGGTAAAATTCAGTCGGTTTAAATTCTATTCGATTGCCTCCTTCTAACGGCAGATTTTCACATTGATTTTTAAATAGCAAACTACATGTGTCAACAATCTTAAAAGTCTAGAATTAAACAAGAAAAAAAATCCACCTGGGTTTCCCATCAATTACAAGGTTTCTCAGACAGCCTCTAAACCCAACCTCACCATGTAGTCCTCCTCCAATATCATAATAACTTCCTAAATACATAAATATACCTCCAACCTCACCATATAGTCCTCCTCCAATATCATAATAGCTTCCTAAATATATAAATATACCTCCATCCTCACCATGTAGTCCTCCTCCAATATACTAATAGCTTCCTAAATATATAAATATACCTCCAACCTCACCATGTAGCCCTCCTCCAATATCATAATAGCTTCCTAAATATATAAATATACCTCCAACCTCACCATGTAGCCCTCCTCCAATATCATAATAGCTACCTAAATACATAAATATACCTCCAACCTCACCATGTAATCCTCCTCCAATATCATAATATCTTCCTAAAGACATAAATATACCTCCAACCTCACCATGTAATCCTCCTCCAATATCATAATAACTTCCTAAACCCATAAATATACCTCCAACCTCACCATGTAATCCTCCTCCAATATCATAATAGCTTCCTAAATACATAAATATACCTCCAACCTCACCATGTAATCCTCCTCCAATATCATAATAACTTCCTAAACCCATAAATATACCTCCAACCTCACCATGTAGTCCTCCTCACATAAATATACCTCCAACCTCACCATGTAATCCTCCTCCAATATCATAATAACTTCCTAAAGACATAAATATACCTCCAACCTCACCATGTAATCCTCCTCCAATATCAAAATAACTTCCTAAACCCATAAATATACCTCCAACCTCAACATGTAGCACTCCTCCAATATCATAATAACTTCCTAAACCCATAAATATAACTCCAACCTCAAAATGCAGTCCTCTTCGATGAGTGATAAAATTTAAATAATATTTTATTTTGTATAAAAACAATCCTTCTTTTATATTCGTCATGTACTATAGTGAGACCCTGAAAACTGTAAAACTAGCCTGTTCTAACCTCCTATGCTATAGTTGACATGAAAACTTACTTGTTCTAGCCTCCTTGTCTATAGTTGACATGAAAACTAACCTGTGCTAACCTCCTTGACTATAGTTGACATAAAAACTAACCTGTTCTAACCACCTTGACTATGGTTGACATAAAAACTAACCTGTTCTAACCACCTTGACTATGGTTGACATACAAACTACTAACCTCCTTGACTATAGTTGACATAAAAACTAACCTGTTCTAACCACCTTGACTATGGTTGACACGAAAACTAACCTGTTCTAATCTCTTTGACTAGTTGACAAGAAAACCAACTTGTTCTATTCTCCTTGACTATGGATCACGTGAAAACTAACCTGTTCTAACCTCCTTGACTATGGTTGACATGAAAAATAACCTGTTCTAACCTCCTTGACTATGGTTCACATGAAAACTAACCTGTTTTAACTTCCTTGACTATAGTTGATATGAAAACTAACCTGTTTTAACCTCCTTGCTATAGTTGACATGAAAACTAACCTGATCTAACCTCCTTGACTATGGTTGACATGAAAGCTAACCTGTTCTAACCTCCTTGACTATAGTTGACATGAAAACTAACTTGTTCTAACCTCCTTGACTATGGTTGACATGAAAACTAACTTGTTCTATTCTCCTTGACTATGGTTGACATGAAAGCTAACCTGTTCTAACCTCCTTGACTATAGTTGACATGAAATCTAACTTGTTCTAACCTCCTTGACTATGGTTGACATGAAAACTAACTTGTTCTAACCTCCTTGACTATGGTTGACATGAAAACTAACCTGTTCTAACCTCCTTGACTATTGTTGACATCAATGATTCTCCATCAAGTTTTAAAATTGCTGCTTCTCCATTTAAAAAGAATCCTAAAATTAGAAAATGAGGTTTATTCAAAACATGAAAACAAAAATGTCTACAGAAACATTGCGTTATTATTTTAGGATTTAAATAAATATGAAGAAAGAAGAAAAAAACTAAATATTCTGCAAATTCAATACGTGATCTTGGCTTTTTCACCAAAAAAAAATATTTATTCACTCAAGTTTATACAAATAAAAAAGATGATTTATTTTCGTAAAATAAAATAAAGCTTGAAATCTTCCCTGGATAATATTGAAGAAGGAAAGAGAAAAGTCATAATTCAAAATATTTAAATTTTTGCAAAATTCCGAGTTTTGAGTTTAGAACAGAGAAATCAAATACATAGAAGGGAGATAAACATTAAACATTAATCATGTTTACTTGTTTTGAGTTTAGAACAGAGAAATCAAATACATAGAAGGGAGATAAACATTAAACATTAAACACGTTAACTTGTTTTGAGTTTAGAACTGAGAAATCAAATACATAGAAGGGAGATAAACATTAAACATTAAACACGTTTACTTGTTTTCAAGTATGGTTGCATATTACCTAATTTATGCCAGGAACCTTCATTCATCATCTGAAAATTAAAGATTTACAGGAAAAAACATTTAAATACTTTTATAAACTCTGGTTATAGAACCTTACTCTTTCTTTTTTCTTTAACAAAAATAAACTCATGACAATCTGGAAGGATCTGAACGATTGAATTTGGGGTTTGCCTTAAATAAAAGATTCTAATTCTAAACCTAAAAATGTTTCATTTAACTTAAAAAAATAATTTTAAAGAGTTTTAACGTTCACAATTTAATTCTATAAATCTTATTATTATTATCTGTTCACGAAGAAATGTTTTTTTTTATCTAAAAACTAGAACTTAACTGTTTATTTTTATAGCTGAAGAGAAGAATGGAAAAAGTTTAGAACTGTTTTGAAAGTTGGTTAATTACCCCTGCTAATTGCAACTTATTGTTAATAGCCTCATTAAATTCGTCCGAGTAATTAGCACGAAATGAGTAAAAACATTTTAAAAAGGTTTATAGATATTGACACTTTATTCCTTTATTTAATTTTCTTCACGTTTCTTTCAGTTGTTAATTAAAAAAATATAAATAATAATAAATAAATAAAAACTAGAAAGAGAAACAGTGAATCAGAAGCAGCGGGGGAGCATTCTCTAAGCCCCCTGAATACCCCCTACATACACCTCTAGAAGGGATGCATGGAATGTTTCTCTTTTTGAAAATTAACATTTACTCCATTTAAAGACTGTAATGTTAGAATCACAATGATACCCTTTCAACCTTTTTCTGATCAAGGCTAAAATTCAACAATTCTTTTCATCTCTAATTTTTCTATAAAAACAGAGTTGCGAGTTTTTTCTTGCATCAGAGACAATGAGAAAAACGTTAGCTTGAGAATTCAATGTTTTTTAAGCTAAAAATCCTAGGATATCTTTCATAGATATCCTAATGAAACTGTTGTGAATTTGAAAATGGAGTTTTACTTGAAATTTCGTCTCTAGTCCCTATAAATGCTACCTGGTTGAACTGAAGAATGATGGGTTGAACCTCTGAGTATTGTAATATTGCTGATATTTGGGACTGATTAAGATAAATCTTAATGAATCCTTCAGAACTAAAAACAATTCGTTAACATTCATCGCCAAAAATGTCAATATTCCCCCCTCAATCTTTACCTTTGAAGTTTTCCCCCCTTTTAAGAATTGGTTTTAGGAATTTATATAAAATCCATAAATATGAATATAATTAACATATTTAGCAGATTCCACTTAAAGTCTTAGGATTTATTTGAACCCTTCAAAACATTTTGCAAGAATTACGATTTAAAATATTTAAATAAAATTAGAATCAAAGTCTTCATATAATATTTTAAAGATAATATCAAGCATGACGTGTCTCAGTTAAACTTTTATCAGAACCATGATGGTAAAATAAATTTATAAAAGACAAAAGCCATAAAAGAATTTTCATGAAAAGTTGGTTCGTAAGTAAGCAGAAAAATGGAAAAATTGGGAGGCCACTGTAGGTTACACGTGGGACTGCGCAGTTCAGCTGGGGGCCGAGCAATGAAGGAAGGATGAATGGATGAATGAATGAATATTCCTGAATTTATGGTAGAGAATAACCCCATTTCCCTGGTATGTTCTGAAGTCCAGAGACAGGTTTACCATAAACGAACCCTCGTATCCGACCAGCCTAAATATACATCTTTTTTTAATGAAGTAATATTTTTGTCATTGTTTTTGTACAGTGAGACACATAAAACTGTGGAATAGAAAGATGAAGCTGTTAGATTCAAGTTATGGTTTTAAATAGTCTAATAAACATGACACACTGCAATTGTGGAGTGTATACAGACTCATTTCACGTAACAAGTTTATGTATGGCAACGTACATCAAATACACAAAAATTACTTAAACGTCGTCATATTCAACAGTTTATTGTGTCCCACTGTATAATATTATTGCTTTCCCCTCGTAAATCTTGATTTATCGTTGCAATTTTGAAAATAATAATTGTTGTACGCATCTCTATTAAGATTAATTAGATTAAAATGTCTTAGACCTAAATTAAAACCTTGGATTTAGAAAATTTTTCTCGGTAAACTGAGTATATAAGATAAAGTTATTTCTTTATAAAACATTATTGGTTTACTGATAACAATTGAGCTAACGATAATGCCAAGTAAATATTAATGGCTGAATAAAAACCCCGGAATGGGTCTTTAAATGTAGGAAAATGATAACTTTGCTATATTGAATACACGTAAAATCTATGAAGGAACAGAGAAAATATAAAAAGAATTTGAAAAAAATTTCCGAAAAAATTTTGATTAAAACTATTTGAAAAGGTTTGATTAAAAAGAAATATAACTTACAATGAACAATGAAAATCCTGAGTTGGAATTAAAAAAAAAGAGTAAATAAAATAAAAATTTGAAAAAATAATTCAGATAATATAAATTATAGAAGGCCATGATAAAATGTAAAAGCTACTTTTAAATAGAGAAAAATATAAAGAGATAAACAGTTAAAACATAAAAAAGAATAAAATTAATATGTATATTTATATATTATTTTTGAATAAAATGTGAAATTTAAAAACTGAAATATATATTTATGTATATACACATTTCTTTCGATTCAACAATTTATCCTTATATTTTGGATTTAAAGAGAAACAAGAACAAAATATCTATGAATGTTAGGAACGAGCTTTAAATAAAAAAATATTTGTTCTGTATGTCTATGCTTTAAAAAACAACAAAAAAGATAAAAAAACATCTCGCAATTTTAAAATTAAAGGAATTGAGTCTTTGCCACAAACTCGGATTTTTAAATCCCAATTTCTTCAAAACCAAATATCGTAGACCGTAGATATTTCAAACTATGAATTCTGGTGGATCAAACAATGTAAGTTTGAAATATGAAAGGTATGCATCATTTGGTTGTTGAGATTTTGGTACTAGAAAATTGGAATTTGTGACAAAAACTTAGTTCCTTTTTAAATTAAAAAATCTTACCTTGAAAATGCTTCTTCTTGTGAATATGTCACTGTTTTAACTTAAATTGAATGAAATTTGTATTTTTTAAATCTAAATTTTCAAAAAAAAATATGTTATAATCTTTTTATATTAGAATTTTTTGGTCTAACGAAGTTGTTTGCACTTTGCCATGTGTTGCTTACAGTTTTTTTAATGATGTTTTTAAAAAGAGCTGAGATGTATTGTTTCCTCTGTATATTGACATTCCTTCAAGTAATACGAGATCAAAGCAAACAAACATTTAGACAACACACATTAAATACAAACAAGCAACAACAGAACAACAAACAACAAACAACAACAAGCAGAATTAACAAACACAGCATGAAAACAAACATGTACACACTAAACAAATAATACAAACCATAATGAACAAAAAACAACAACAAAAGACCGTACAACAATAAGCATGTAAGCAACAAACAAAGCAAAAAACAAACATGTAAACACAAACAACAAAGACAATCAAACAACAATAATGTGAAAACAAACACTACAAAAAGCATGCAAACTACAAATACGACAGAAAACAAACAAAGTAGAAGAAAACAAGTATTTAATCTGGAGTTTATAAATACCATAAACATCTGAATATGAAACAAACTAATGGAAAATATCAAAAAACGGAAACAAACAAAACAACATTTCAGGAGACAATATGATTTAAATGAAGCCACTTAAAAATTTTCTTTATTATTTTTAGTTAAAGATCCATTGATCTTGCATGACTCTTTAAAAGCAACTTTTCTCCTCCGCAGAATACAGTACAAACATATAACAATTAACAATTAGAAAAGTTAAAATGGAAAAGTATAACATTGTTTCTTCATCTCTCGCTTAACATTGTTTACACTTTATTCACTCAATTTAAACCTGATCTAGAATTAGTGATGAGAACTAGAGAGTTGAGGACTAGAAACCACAGATAAAATATCATAATTATTGGATAAATTAACTCTTGTCACTATAATTCACTCATTCTTCGCCTCTTCGGTTCTTTTTTTTCAATCCATTCTTCGACTTCTCAGAACCATAGAGGAGATTATATTAAACAGACATTTTTCTAATTTATTTTTAATTTTTTAGAAATTTCTATCTCTGATGTTGGCACTGCAGAAGGTTAACCCCGACTAATTGTAACCTCTCCTCTCACTCGGTCTCAAGGGGAGAACAGGACATGAGGCACCCCCCCCCCCCCCCTCACACCCTCGGGCTCGAGCAATCCTCTAGACCGCGGTACAGGACGCATCCGACGGTTTAAAGCATAAACAATCCGTTCCTCCCCCACCATCTCCTTACGCTAGTACTGATACTGTGCTTTTCAATGCTGTTCTGCATTAAGATATTTGAATACACGAATTTTTTAATTCAGAAAGGATGAAAGTTGAATTTAAATGTAATGAATACATTTTTAAACATTTTTCATTCGATAATATATCCAAAGGGAATAGTATGTTTTCTAATTTTTATTGACATATTTTTAATATGCCTTTGGAAAAAAGGTTTTTGTTATATCCATGAACAATATCATTATTGTTAAATTATTGCGTAAACCCATTTTCATGTAAACCTTTGATATTTCAAACTTCGGCTATTTATTTGACTATATTCAAATAGATAGCCAAGTACTTGACAACCTATTTTACTATACTATGCAAAGAGCATGTTTATGATTTAAATATCGGGAAAATGTTTATATCAAAACTGAGTTAAGATTTTAAATATCCACGTATAAGTTTTCATATTTGATGAAGCTTAGAAGAAAATTTATAAATTCTAAAAACTTAATTTATCTTGTGAACAAACTTTCAGTTTTACAAGAAAGATATGCGCAACGAGGGGATTTAGTAAGGTTCAAAAGAATTTTAGAAAGTTAAAAATGATTTTACAAAATATTATTAATTAGTGATAAAATTAGTTCAAAGCGGACAAAGGGGGAAGTTTTGTGAAAAAAGTGGTAAGGAGGGCGGAGGGGGGGGGAAGGATTAGGNGAAACGCCCTCTAAGGCTAGTATATATATATATTTACATATATATATATATATATATATTTTCCATGTAACTTTAACTATATAGATATAAAGATATATATAGTTTGGCCAGCTATATAGCCTATAGCTAACATTTAAATAAATATAATAATGTCGATACAATAAAACTTCAAATCATGTTTTCTTATTTAAATACTGGACTAAATGCGCAAACATTTTTTTAAGGGAACCCATGGGTATCCCGGGGGTAACAGGCTAAAAAATCTATATTTCTTTTTTTAAATTTGATTTTTTAAACTACACGGACAACGCCGCACCGGGAACTGGAGCTAGTGTTTAATAAACGTAAAGATACATTTTTATACTGTCGATAATCCTTAATAATGCTATAGACTGTACTATTTAGCAAAGACACATATTTAGTAAACAGAGTAAACAAATATGTGTGAACAACACTGTATTTCTAAATATATTGATTAAATAATAGTATTATATAAACTTGTATTATAATTCTGTTTATTTCTCGTATATTACTTTAAAGCCGGCTTTTATACGGCTGCATTAATCCTTTGGTAAATCATACAAAAATATGTTTCCGTTTACTTTAATACTCTGCTAGGTCAGGGGTCGGAAAGGGGTAATATTAATAGAGTATAGAGGTGGGATATGTAGAGATGGGATTAAACCATTATAGGAGGGAGGAGAGCCATGTCAGCAGGACTAATCAATCAATTAATTCATCAATTAAGGGTAACCAGATGCTACACAAGAAATGGGGCGATGGTGCGCCCATTTGTCAATTTAGAATATATTGCACACACATTCGTTCATCAGAACGGTTTAACAATACATGTAAAATAATAATTCTAGGAATAATTGTCTAGAATAAGGGATTAGTTTGAATTAAAGTATTGGGATCGTTATATTGCATTTCAATCGAGTTACGAACTATTTCAGCCTAATGAATTACATGTACAGTGGCGTACTAGGGGGGGGGGGCTATGGGGGCTCAGCCCCCTGGATTAGTAAAATCTATGGTTTCCAGGGTGTTTTCAGTCTGCAAGGGATGATGAGCCCCCCCCCCCCTGACAATGGACGATTTGTTAACAAGCGTAACTAAAAAAGGTTTCAGGTCGTTTAATAGAAAGAAAAATAAAAAAATATATTTTTCTTGCAAGTTAGACAGATAGGTAGATCTTCGAACGAAATAATATTTTTACATCCAAGAATCAATCTGCAGGACGGTTTCGATGTTGTCACCAAGTATCTTTTGTATTATCAGAACTTACTGTAAGTTAATCTAAAAGTTTTGGCCTCCTCACTTGTATCTATCTATCCATCCATCTGCCTACTGAGGACCTAGTGTTTGCTTGACAGTAGCATATAGTGTTAAATCTTAATCAATTGTTGCCAGATATATATATCTCTCTTATGTGTGTCAATATATCTATATATGATAACATATATCTGACTTATACAATATACTTCTATCAATGTTCTTGGACTCAAACCAATCCAGGTAGTCACACTTGGAAATTTATAAATTGTATGAATTTCAGAAATAAGTTTCTAACAATCAATCCTGGATATTGTATAATGTATATTTTAAGTTTGAGACAATTCCCCTGGATAAAGATGAGCATCGTGTTTCTCAACGAAAGATGGTGTCGTTCAGAAAGAACGAACAATGGACGAACGTTTTTACGATTTTTTCGAGCAGACTTTTGAAACAACGATCATGTTTTTATTGAACGAACGTTTTTTTCGAGCAGACTTTTGAAACAACGATCATGTTTTACTGAACGAATGACCTTTATGAACAATCGTTCATGAGAAAACGAACAAAATTGATGAAAAATGAACGGTGATTTTAACTACGAACAAAATCAATTTTTTGTTGAACGATTGAAAAAACGAACGAAATATGTCGTTTGCGAACGTTGAACGAACAAATTGAAATCACGACTAGGATAGGCTGAGGGTCGAGGTCTGCGGCCCAGTGCCCCTAAATTTAAATAGGGTAATGCCCGAATTACAACGATATACTTTGATTTGATTTTTACAGTCACTTAAGGAATGGTTTTCAAAACTATCAATATCATGCATCAACAGAGTTTTTTAATCTATATAATGAAGCTCTTCGCTCATATCTATATATAAATTTGGCTTGTCTGTCTTGGTGTTTGTCTGTCTGTTTGTTTGTATCCAATAAACGTCAAAACGGCTAACCGATCGGGCCCAAATTTTTTGTGGGACATCTAGGGACACCAGGGAAGGTTTATGAATGATTGAAATTTTAAAAATTTGTCTCCATCAAAATTCGATCTTCATTAAATTTTT